TTTTTTTTTCCCGTCAAGATGATAGATTGATAAATATTTTCCATCCAAACGATGGTGCCAAAGTATGAGAGGATGTTATGAGCTCACCCAGCAACCAAATATTAGTGCAGATCCTTGCGGAGTGACAGGTGGTCATCTAAGTAGCACTAAAAGCGGATTGCAGAAGTGAAGCCTCGTTTGAGACTTTACAATTTGATCAATTTTTCACAGAAATAGCACAATTTTTGCTTCCTCCTTGCAGGGATCGTCACTAGCCTCATTTGCACAAGCTTCCGTTTGTAACGCAAACCTACGACTGGGCGGTCTTGGATTGTGTAATATGCCATATGACAGGGTTGATCTCAATTGAGAATCGGGTACAAGGATGTCTGCCTTGTGTGTGGTGCAGTTTCTCTTGGTGCGTGCATCTCCCGATCCCCTCAGAGACAGCCAGTGACAAGCATTAGCCATAAATAGCGGCACATCCCACAGGAGATACTGTAAATGTGTGCAGAAAAGTATTGTTCTTCAAATGGGTCGGAGCAGCTGTTGTTTTAGACACCCCCCCCCCCACCGCCTACTTCGGATGCCGAACAGGAGATGATGGGTCGCCAGAGTAACTCTTGGGGCAGAGATTCTTGTCCCTGGAATAGTTTGGAATGAGCTCACTTTTAATCCCCATCCCTTGTTCCCTGCCATCTCCCTCCACTGACACCCAAGCCTCCTCCCCGCCCCCAAGCCCCCACCACCACTGAAAAACACACACACACACACACTGGCCAGGCACCAAATCTGACAACCCCACAGCTACTTTATACCTCACTCAAAGGGCAGCCACCCCTTTTGACCCGATGCCCAGACACTTTCCACAACTGTCCTCATCTTAAGCTCCTTTGTCTTGGGTTTCCTTCGAGGAGAAGCCCGCGGCAGCGACACCACTTGATCCAGATTCTTGTCACAGATTTGAAACACTCTCCCTGAGCTTTCTTCTCCATCTCATGTTATACAAAAGGCCTTTATAAATCATGAAAGGTTGTCAGATGACTTATTGGGAAAAGAAAACCTCATCCAATTGCAATGGCGGGATCGATCTGGGCTTGGACAGACGTTTGATTTCACACACTAAAGGTCGATGACAGTGGCAACAGTTGGAGCCCCCGTGAGCCTCTTTCTGTCTAAGCGCCAGCAGAGGCAACAGCTGAAAATACGTGCAACCTTGTCAGCTGAACTGGGAGACCCTCCGAGGTAAAGCAAAACCTTTCTGCACCCTCATTATCCCTGCGGCCATGAGGGCGAAACTCGTTTCGGGCCGCATGATGTGACCCCGCTGGATCGCGCTGCAGTGGCCAGCGACACATTGTTTGGAAGCAAGCGTTGTGGCTAATTTTGGGTGCTGGAATGCTGACAGGGAATCGTCACGAAATTCAGGGATATCCGAAGCTGAGACGGAGAAAGTGGCTCTCCAAAGATGATACTTTATCGGCAAATGTGCTGGAGACAAGAGTTGAGATCACTGCGTGGACTGGTTGCGCGCAGCCGACCGTCGCCAAGCATCCGACGTGTGAAATCCCGGGCTCTCAAGGAGAACAGTGAGGTTTTCGGATCAAATTAGTGACTGCGTCCACGCCAGACAAAGGTCACCCAATGTTCATTTTCATCCATCTCATGTTTCTTATCAGTTTGCTGGTGTTTATCTTCTCCACTAAACCTTGACCGGAGTACTGAGGTGAAAAACAGGTCGCCTTCCACGGATTTGGCGTTTTACGATGCGTCTTTGCGCAAGACATTGAACACCTAAATGTGAACATGTGGTTTGTCACAGAGGCCCTCGGTCCTAATCAGTTAAGACTGTCGGGAGTCACTTAACAAAATAGGTCAGTGTGTTGCGTATCATTTACTTACCGAGTGTCTTGTAATGGATCCCTCCTTTCTTTTCTCCCTTTAGATGAGACGGCAACCGCACAGCCGCAAGGTGAGCAGCCAATGACGGGTCGCCGCTTGTCAATTCACACCCTGCCACGACAATCAGACAGACTCAGACTTGTCTCCGGTTGGGTAAACAAACACATCTAGCTTCGGATGACTCACCCTATGGGGGACACTGATGTAGATGGTATCTTTGAGGGACTAAGAGTGACGCCTCCATCCACCCATTTTCGACGACTCATCCTGTTGAGGATCATGGGTGTGCTGGAACCTTCCCAGCTGATTTTGGGGAAAGGGCACAGGGCACATACAGACAAGCAATTGACAGAGTGTCGGGAGTATGAGGAGAAAACCCAAGCAAACACTTGGGGAACAACAAACTCAACACAGAATGGTCCGAGCCAATATTCGAACTAGCAATCCATCGGGCCACCAAGCTTGATGGAACAGGTTTGGAACCAACAACCACATGGCTACCCATTTGGCCACGACTGACCTCGGATCTCAGACACTCAAAAAAAAAAAAAAAAAGTACATTACGATACAAAGGCTTCGAATGCCTTGGAAATGAAGTGCAGCCATTGCTGACTATGCAAGAGATGAGCAGACAACATCTGCCAAAGCAGAGCTCATCAACGTTAAGACAGGTTTGATTCTTCGAGACGATATGGACGCGCCGGCGCGCCCCGCAGTGACGACCACCGAGCTGTCAGCATCTCTGACATTCCACTCGCCCGCCAGCTGATCCCTCGCTGTTGTTTCAGCTGACGCGCCGGGCCGCCCTACGCGAGGGCGGGCGGGTCGGGGGATGGTGGGCGGCGAGCTGCGAGCTTTTTGCCGCCGCTGGGATTTGACCTTGGAGCCGCAGCATCTTGAGGCTCACGCTCGGAGAAGTTCCCCGAAAGCCGCCCTAAAAATATCCCCGGGACGTTTTACAGAATAACGACAGCAGCGGCTCAAACGGGTGACGCAAAGATGAATTCATGATCACCGGTGCTAACGTTTGCAAACTAGTCAATTATTGCAGTCGTCGGCGAAACCTAACATTTGAATGTCATTAATCCAAATCAACACATGTACATTTGCGAGACGGAAATGACATTGTTGGTGCTTGTCTTGTGAGAATGCTCTGTCCCAAAGTATCAATGTGTGTGACCTGCAAGTATGCGTGAATGTGTGTATTTTTGTGTGCGGTCGTGTCTTTAGTGTACATGAGAGTGCAAGAGACACGACACGTGCTTGGAAGAAAAAAAAAAAGCTTTGTGCTCATCCAAATCCATGCGCCGCTTTATTTGTCACATTATGTTCAGAAAGTGTTGCACCAGAAAGTAACGGTGCCCCGCTCCTCCCTGCGATTTCCCTGGAGGTCTCTCCACCCCCAGGTGGGTAACCTTGACTGCCCCCGTCCTCGATTCTTCCACCCTCTCCCCACAACTCACGTCACCGTGTTGGTTTGGGGTGTGCCCTCACAAGTATTTCCTTTGACTTTTAAATTCACTCGGCGAGGCCTGCAGCTTCTTTGCGGAGGAGGTATGATTGTGGCGCTTTGTGGTTGTTAGCGTGCTGCTCTCCCTTGCACCTGTCCTGCGGCTTGACGCTTTTCACAGTGAAGACGTTTGTACGATGTTACACGCTAAGCTGTGGGTAGGGCTGAAATACTGTATGTCAAAATCCCAAGACGAAGGATAAGATAAAACTGGAAAGAGCCCTCTAAGAGCTACGGCTGCAATACGTAGAAAAAAGGTGAGTTTTCGGGGAATAGGAATCTGAGAAAGGTTGGACAAAGCTGTGGAACAACATGGTTTCCTGGGGGTAGTTTTTTGTTGGCAACGTATCATGAGGTGCGTCTCAATAAATAAGAATATCGCGGAATATCTTCATTTGTTTGAGCAGTTCAATTTGACAAGTGAAACGCCAACTATATCGATACGCCCCAACATTAAAAAAAAAAATGGAATGTTACACAAGAAACAATGATTTCTTTTTTTTAAATAGAAGAAAAACAAATTGGTAGGAAGTGGAATTGGAAAAGCACTTTCCTATGCGTTCATATAATGAGCGACACTTTTTTTTATTGGCTTCCTGAATTAGGTTACGTTTTCTAGATTACCGCCACACACAACATCGTTGAAACAATTGCACCCGCTTGGCACTTGCAGATTGGAACGCACACCACCACGTTGTCTCTGGAGAGAGCTTGCAGAAATGAGCGCAATAAAGATCCACTCGGGATCTCACGCCACCGCGCATTTTTGGCTTTTTTGGCATTTTGGGGGATTTGTCCTCAAGGGGTGCATGTCCATTCAATGTCCCCCAGCTTGCCTGCTTTTGAAGGATTTTCACCATGTTGCTAGGTGGGTATATATGTCAACAAACACCTTTATTGCAGATGACGCCGGCGTCACAGCCACTAGTCCGCCCCCATCAATCCCTGCAGGTTGGTATCCAAAAAACCATGCCCACTTATTTATGAGGACGGCCGACATTACAGAAGGAGAAAAGAGGCTGAGCCACAATAGCGTTCGCAAGCGGTCAGGATATAAGCTGCCGGATATAACTTTGAAAAAAAAAAATAAGGTCCGCGGTTAGCATGACTTTCATTTGGGATGAACGCGGTATGTTTAACACTGAGATGTATGTCCGTGCTCGGACATACATGAAGTAACAGTTAAGTGTGTGCGTGTACGTGTGTGAGAGAGACGCCCGAGCATCAGCCTTTACTGGACAAATAAAGACAAGGATGCAAAACGGGTATTCCACATGTATGTATACTGTGGATACTTATCGGTCGCAATGAAGAGAATTTAACCAAATGCCATGCAACTTATTGAGGCTTCCTCTCGGTGTGTCGTGTTGGAAGACTGTGAATATAATTCATCTCCCGAAAATTGGGGACCCGAGAGGAATCAATGTAAGAGCATCGGACAGCAAATTGTCAATGGCGGGCATCGCGAATGAGTTGAAAACCAACTTCTATTTTTGAGCCGACCCTGATACTTTTCCGTGATGACTGTGCTTTTTTTCACAGAGGAAGCCAATTCACTCAAGAAACTCTCAATTGAGCTGCCTAGTAAGATGCCTCTGTTCAGTCCCATGACAGCCTTTCCGACCAACGCGGTCGCCTTCTCTAAATCACTAAATCACAAAAGATTAGCGCGTAGGAAACATGCCGGCAGACATGTTGTTGATGTGTTTGGAAAACTTTTGATAGAACAACAGAGAGAAGTGGGGATGTCTCCTTGCTAACCAATTAACAGCCACCTTTTAACTCAAGATTACACTTTCAATTTTGCCCTCTGAGTCTTTCCCTTCAAACAGTAGATAAAATCCTAGCCCCCCACCCCCCCCCAAAAAAAAAACTAATCGCTTGGCGTTTTTTGTGTTGGCGTGTGCTTACGACAGCGGACTTTACAGTACTATTCCCGCCAATATGCTGTAAACCTCTCTTTGTCTTTATTTAGATGATAGCGTCCCTGTTACCTCCATGGGGAGAAAAGATTCAGGTAATTGAGTGGTAGACACAGTCACTAGAAAATATTGATATTGTGACACACACTAGGGGATCGAGAGAATAGCGTCGCTTTCATTTAAGTCATCCTTGTTGGACATCATCTGAAGTAAGTTTTGTGTTCCCTCACGTCTACTTCATGCTTTCAGTGTTGCTTAAACTGCTGCTGCTGCTGCTGCTGCTGCCGGTGGTGGAAAAAGTGATAAAATGTGTCCAAGTGTGTGTCGGTCGTCCTGTCTGTGTGTGGGTCTGCGTGGTAAGACTACACAGTGCAAAAGTTGGTTGGTTGTAACGGAGCTCAGACCGACGGTGACCGAAATGAACTATGAACTATTGCCTCCTTTTTTAAAATGTGCAACTGTATGCGTTTGTCCTCAATGTGCACCAGTGTGGTCTTTGGGTGAATCCCAACCCCCGGAGGAATTGGAAAAGCCCATCGAGACGCCACCGCTGTCCACCCTGCTAATTGAAAAACCCGTGAGCGGCATGGTGTCAGTCGGTAAGCATTGTCGACGGAGAATTGAGTCAAGATGACACAATAGATCCCGGCTTGTTTTGAAATGACTCAGTTGACACGATGCACTTTAGCAAATTTGGGTCTCGGAGAGGAACCAAATTTCTGTTTGGGAAGGGAAATGGCATCGTGGAAAAATAGCATTCACTACAATGTCTGTCATTTTTGCTGTACGCGAAAAGGTGGGGACATCACCTTTGTCGCCAAAGTAGAAGCAAAAGACCTTCTGCGCAAACCCACCGTCAAGTGGTTCAAGGGAAAATGGATGGACTTGGCCAGTAAGACAGGGAAGCACCTGCAGCTCAAAGAGACCTTCGATCGCAACACCAAGGTAAGAATTTTGCCCCGAGCGTCCATCGGATAAGACATGTCGCTCTCTGACGCTATCTATGCACGTCTCCTCGGACAGATCCACACATTTGAGATGCAGATCATCAAGGCCAAGGAGAACTACGCGGGCAATTACAGGTGTGAGGTCAGCTACAAGGACAAGTTCGACAGCTGCTCCTTCGACCTGGAAGTGAAAGGTCGGTTCAAGCGCCAAGCGGGTGCCCCCGTCAAGACACATAGACGACGGAATGAGTGACTGTGAACGTCTACCGCTGTCTTCCAGAAACCGGGGGATCACAAAGTATCGACATTCGATCGGCTTTCAAAAGGAGGTAATGCAAGAAGACACGCCCACTTGGGAGTGTGTGTTCAGTATGCAACACAAAGGTGCAATCTTGTAAATGCACCCAGGATGACATGAAATGATTGACAGCGGTTCTGTCATTGCGATCAACCGCCAACTCAACCGCCTTGACACAATCAAAGGCCAACTTTGATATATTAAAATCGCCCTCAAACAATGTGTATGGAAGGCAATACAAAGCACCCTGGGTGTCATTACGCCGTCATGCTGCGGCAATGTCGCCCGGGGATGAGAGACTTACACAAGCCACCTTTTTTTCCCCCCAAAACCAAAGACGTAAGCCTGAGTTTTGTGTAAGCACCAATCATTTGTTAGCTCACAGCTAATACGTTGATTGAGTGTCGGCTTTGTGTTGGCTCGTTCACAGCATTGTTTCCTTGAGACTGTTTCATGAAATCCTTATTAATCTCTCCCTGTTAACAACAGCACTGAAGGCCAAGACGATGCAGGGGAGCTTGACTTTAGTGCTCTCCTTAAGCATAGGTGAGAATCATATGCCCAGCCGCCGAGTGGATGTTGCCCTTCCTTGCGGTCATGGTTTCAATGTGCTTCTTTTGGCTTTCTTTGAAAAATGATTCATATGATGCCACCCATTGAATGGCGAGCCTATGTCTAGCGCGCTTCTCTTGGTTGCTCAAAAATAACCGCAATGTTGCCTCTTTAAGCTCATGCTAAACACAGACACGACCAGATAAGTGATACATTTATTTTGGGCTTGTCTCTTCTTCTCCCCTACACATTCAGACATCAAAGGTTAGTAGAGCGAAAACCATAGGTACTAAAAGCATTAGACCTTACTGCGGGTGAGTACTCTAATCTTGCAGTCCTCAGCATGAAAGGGTTGGGGGGCTCCCCGAATTGGACGAGCAAAGAGTGTTGGCGTACAGTAGCTTGGTAACACTTCATTTGAAAGCAGCATTCTGACGGCTCCCGCTGGCAGTCGGCAATGATGGAAATGGTCTCGGCGCATTTCCCGTTGTTGAAGATGCACTAGCGAGCCGCAGACAAATGATGCAGTAAAATAGTGTTATCGCTACATTATCGTTGTATTTCACGTGGGAAATATAAGGCAAACACACCCGTGTTTATTTTGGCTCTCCACATCATAATTGCCTGAAAATAAACGGAAAGAGTCACGAATGCAATAACATTGTCTGCTGCTTTTCACATTGCTAACTTTCAGACATTTGGAAAAATGTCCACGAAAGACGGAAGTGATGGAATGTTCTCCTAACGCAAGCGCCACTCATGCTCGGGTCAATGAGATTACTAACCAGGATCTCACAAACGTAATCCGACACCCACCCCAAGATTCTGTCTAACATGATGCGCGCGCGTCCCTGACTGGATCAATGGAGTGAGCATAAAAAAAAATTTTAAAAAAGGGAATGGGCCAGATAGAAGGAAACCCAGTTCAACAATGTTCGTTGCAAACAAAAAAAACTTTGGAAAAAGACAGACAAGAGAATGAGAAGAATGATCTGAAGTAAGCACAGACAAGAAGGAAGGCCGCATGAGCTGATTGACAAAACTATTACCTACTTTAGTTCAGTCCGATGGACCATTTTTATGAATTCCGATGGCCAAAATTACTCGAGGCGACTATTTCCAATGGCGAGATGAATGTCCTTTTTTTTTTTAATCCTCGCCAAGGTAGAAGCAAAGTCAGGAAGACGTTGCATGAAGCCCATCCCTTTATGTAACATTTTTTGAGGAAATAGGGGAGGATTGTACCGTACAGAATTTCGCGTTACAGTTCCAATTCCTCAAGACATGTTACAAACACTATCCTATGACTCTGGTCCTCACACGCTATCCAACACCTTCCCAGGGAGTATAAACCACAGGACGACACTCCCGAGGTGGACGTGTGGGAGATCCTGAAGAACGCCCGTCCGGATGAGTACGAGAAGATCGCCTTCATGTATGGTATCACGGATCTGAGAGGCCTGTTGCGCAGAATGAAGAAGATTCCCAAAGAGGAGAAAAAGAGCGAAGGTAAAGCGGTTACTCTGCGAGCGGAATTCCAGAGAGAACCACGCCGATGAAAAATGTGCCATTTTACAGCCTTTGCCAAGAAACTGGAGCCTGCGTATCAGGTGGATAAAGGAGGCAAGATCCGCCTGGTTGTTGATCTGACTGATCCCACGGTCGACCTGAAGTGGTACAAAAATGGACAAGAGATCCGTCCCAGTCCCAAGTATGTGACCATGTCACCTATTGTGTATCCTTCCTGTTGTCAGCTCTAAACGCAAATGAAGCGCATTGCACATGATGCTATTCATTTGCGGGAATACGTCCTCCTCTGGCCGCTGTCGTATTGGTTCCTTCTCGACTTCAATGTGGCTCTGAAGACTTTCCATGACTGCAGAGCGACATTTGAGTGATAATCGCACACGTACGGTTGTGTTTAATTGCTTTTTGTATGCCTCTGTACAGGAAAGGGCGGTACCTCCCACACAGGTCTTTAACTGAGCCTGGCTTTGGCAAGAAGGCGCATATGGAGGGTTTGACAACTGTTTGCGTTTTGAGTTCTCGCGGGAAAACATTTCAAGGCAGTGATGATAATTCCCTTCAGAGCGTTGCAGAGAATCGATATGATCCTCGATTTGCAAAGAAAAGTCATGTCAAAGCCACGCCAAGCTAAAGCCATTTGGGAGGCTACTGCTGTGTTCTGGTTTTCATCGCCGGGACTTCCTGTTGTTCTTCTAGTTGACTACCACCCCCGGGCATGATGTCTCTCTGTCTATGTCTGTCTGTCATGTCGTGGCTCCTTCCTATGTGCCATAATCACTTCTTGCACACTCGGCGTGCTCTGGCCCTGTTCTGGCTCCGCCGCTGACCTTAAGTCAAAGGAAGTAAGTCGATTCGTCTGTCCAGCTCAGTGTTGCAGAATTAGCTTTTGTCCGATCCGATGTGCGTGATGCATGATGAACAACTCCTTAGACGTGTTGAGTTTTACAAAGAAAGAAAGTTGAGCGGGTACGTTGTTGAGTCAAGCTAATGGATGGATCACATTTAGGTACATATTTGAGCACAAGGGCACACAAAGGATCTTGGTCATCAACAACTGTGGTATGAATGACGACGCAGCGTATTCTGTGGCAGCAGGAGACGAGAAGTGTTCCACAGAGCTTTTTGTCAAAGGTACTACTGTAAGAGGAAAAAAAAAAAAAAAAAAAGAATCAAGAACTTTGGTAGACTTTCATGGGTTTTCGCTTCAGCGTTATCCCCATTTCTCGACCGCAGAATTGCCAGTAAAGATCGTGAAAGGTCTTGAGCCCGTGGCAACCACAGTGAATGAGCGGATCGAGCTGGAATGTGAGGTGACAGAGGAAGGCGCCCCTGTTAAATGGTAAGATCACGGTGTAGTTCATAAGAAGAACTCCATAGAAACGTCATTTTCCTGAACCACAGCTGAATGCGGCTCTTTCTCTCAGGATGAAAAACGGTGTAGAGGTTCCAACAGGGGTTCGATCCAGATATCGAGTCAAGTGCGAGGGAACCAAACACTTCCTGGTAATCGACGACGCGTCCCTCGAAGATACTGGGACTTACTCCATCATGGCCTCTGGAGGCTCATCAGAGGCTCGCGTGAAGGTTGACTGTATGTCAACACAGATTCTTCTGTCGCTTACTGATTTCGTAGAACGGCTTTGCTCAGGTGTGAGATGAACCGAACTCTGTTTCACAGTGAAACCACTGAAGATCCATCAAGACCTGGAGGATACAAAAGTAATGCTGGGCAAGCCTCTGAAGCTGCGCTGTGAGATCTCCCCAGGAAACGTCGCAGGCCGATGGTACAGGAACGGACAGTTGATCCAGGAAAATGACCGCATCACCATCACACACAAGCATAAGTATGACCTCATTGTTAGACGTAAAAAAAAAAAAAAAGGATGTTCATAAAGATGTTTTTTTTTTTTGCAGAGTTCACGAACTTTCTATTGAATCGACCTCCCTTCACGATTCTGGAGATTACACTTTTGTACCTGATGGGTACTCACAGAGTCTATCTGCCAAGGTTCATGTCATAGGTACGCTCCATCCAGGCTCACCGACTTCAGATCACACTCTAAAAATAAATAAAGAAATAAATAAAAAAAATACTAAAGAATTAAAGAAACAATTTTCTTCAGACCCTCCAAAGGTGCACCTGGAAGGTTTGAACTTCGTCGACAACACTGTGACGGTTGTGGCTGGAAACAAATTGCGCTTGGAGATCCCCATCAGTGGAGAACCAGCCCCCAAGGTGGTGTGGATGAAAGGAGAAAGGGTAAGTATCTAACTTTTTGTCTGCGGCCTGGATAGATAGCACTTTATGACATTTGAAATCATCGGCCACCCACATTTCTCTGTCTCAGGTTATTCTGGAGTCGGGCAATCGTGTCCGAGCTGAAACGTATGTTGACCAGACGAGCCTGACGATTGACATCACGGAGCGCGAAGACACGGGCAACTACAAATTAGTCCTTCAAAATGAGGCTGGAGAGGCCTCAGCTCACATCAAGTTGAAGGTTGTAGGTAAGAGTAGGAAAAAAAAAGTATTGCGTGTTTTGAAATAATCTCTCAAACTTAAGACTACTTTCTCTTTCTGCAGACATCCCTGATACTCCAGAAGCTCCTTTGGTCCCTGTGATTGGAGGTGATTGGTGCACTATGACGTGGGAGGCACCCAAATACGATGGGGGTTCACCAATTTTAGGTAAATGCTATCATACCCACCTCGCAGACTTACTTTGCAACAGACAACCGAGTCTGGCTGTCCTCCACAGGCTACTACATTGAGAGAAAAAAGAAGCAGAGCTCGAGATGGATGAGAATAAACTTTGACCTGATCAAAGAGACAACATATGAGCCCAAGAAGATGATTGAAGGTGTGCCATACGAAGTGCGGCTATTTGCAGTCAATGCCATCGGGGTGTCCAAGCCCAGTGAACCATCCAAACCTTTTACCCCACTCGGTGAGTCACACAAACGATCCCTTGAATGTCCGCTGGGACAATGGTTCAGCTGTTCACTGGCACTGTCGACAGAGCGCCTTACTAGAACACAATCATATCACCAGCATGTGATGAGTTTTACGAGGCTGTTGTCGTTTTTTTTTGCTCAAGAGTTCAGGTTGAATCGAAGTGTGCGATGTGTCCTTGGAAGCTCAGGCGCACAGCTGTTGCCTCCCGTTTCACCACCGTCCAAAGCATTTAACTGAGATTTCCATTGGCCACGCAGGAGCTTTGGAAGATATTAAAATGTCTTTAGAATGACTGCCAAACCATCTGCGGATTAGAGGTTTAGGAGATTAGGTCCATGAGAGAGTTCAGTAGGAGTGAAATGATTCCGAATAAAGAATGGACAGAGACCAGAGGTTGGCAGACAGTGAGGCGCCTCGCTCATGTGCGAGTGTGTTGATCTTGTTTGTGTACGCCGTCGCAAGCACACAAGTCTGATGAGCGATATTTGCATCCTCCAAGCTGTGACCAGTGAGCCCACCATGCTGGTGGTGGATGACGTGACTGACACGTCAGTGACCATCAAGTGGCGTCCTCCAGAAACCATTGGAGCTGCTGGTCTCGACGGGTATTTAGTGGAGTACTGCCTTGAAGGATGTAAGAAAGCCCACTCACCCACAAACAGGGACTCACTCTGCTATCCTTGATAAAAGCTGAGGTTGAAAAGATGCAATGTTTCTTGATCGACAGCTGATGAATGGGTACCAGCCAACACCGAACTGATAGACAAGACTAGATACACGATCACAGGCATGAAACCTGATACTAAAGTCTTCATTCGAGTCAAGGCCATCAATGCTGCGGGAGCCAGCGCTCCGCGGACCACTCAGCATGCAATTCTTGTCAAGGAGGTTATTGGTAAGAAAAAATGCTCGCAAAAGCAAAAAAGAACAATGAAAGTTGCCTCTGAAAGGCAATTTGTAATCATCGTCCTTCTCCAGAACCACCCAAGATCCGTGTCCCACGACATCTGAAGCAGACTTACACCCGAAGAGTCGGGGAAACAGTCAACCTTGTGGTGCCATTCATGGTAAAGCGCTGTCAAAGTCCAGTCCCTTTTTTTTTTTTTTTAAGCATTATGAAACATAATTCTCCACATACCCCTGTGACGATGTCCATCTAGGGCAAACCGAGGCCAAAAGTCTCTTGGCTCAAGGATGGTCAACCCATAGATCCTGCCCACGTCAGCATTCGGAACACGGACTGTGACAGCATCATCTTCATCCGCAAAGCAGAACGCAGTCACTCCGGGAAGTATCAAATGAAGGTGCAGGTGGAAAACCACGTGGACTCAGCTGAGATCGACATCCAGATCATAGGTAAGGAAACGAAGCACGGAAAGAACATTTTCACCGCCAAACCTTTGGCTCATTTATGCGTTTCCATGACGTTAGATCTACCTGGGCCGCCCCAGATTGTGACTATCGAAGATGTCTGGGGAGAAAACGTATCGCTGTCCTGGACCGCCCCCAGAGATAATGGCAATGCTGCAATAACTGGCTACACCATTCAAAAGGCAGACAAGAAGACAATGGTAAACGATGAATTGGAAGAAATCTGCATCGTTTGTTCATCACGTTTACACATTTTCATGTGCTGAATGTAGGAATGGTACACATGCATTGAGCACTATCATCGCACCTCCATCGCCATCACCGAGCTCGTGGTTGGCAACGAGTACTACTTCAGGGTCTATTCTGAGAACATGTGTGGACTTAGCGAGTCGGCCACCCAAACCAGGAAAAGCGCCCTCATCGTCAAAGAAGGTAGGAGTGACAGTTTTTTTTTTTTCTACAAAGGATCATTGTCTATCCCTCATCACATAGGCAATTGCCCACCTGATACCACTCAGTATCATACACGACCCCATTCCTTTACTCTTGCAACCGCAGACATGAAGATGAAAATCTTCGAGTTCAATGACCACGACTTCAACGAGGCGCCCAAGTTCACGCAGCCGCTCATCAACACGTTTGGCATTGCTGGCTACAACACCACTCTCAACTGTAGCGTCCGTGCCCACCCCAAGGTAGGAATTGGGCAAGGGGGAGCCCACAAAATGACTCCGGTAACCCTAACGTCGTGGTTGTGTTTGCCGCAGCCCAAAGTGACCTGGATGAAGAACAAGATCATCATTGGCGATGACCCTCGCTACCGCATGTTTAGCAACCAGGGTGTGTGCACGCTGGAGATTAGAAAACCCAGCCCTTACGATGGGGGAATGTACACCTGCAGGGCCATCAACGACTTGGGGGAAGCCCAGGTGGAATGTAAACTGGAGGTCAAAGGTAAGGGTGGACGCAGAGTGGACTCCCCGTGGTTTCCAAAGGCTCTAATTGTTCTCTTTGAATTGAAATAATCATTTATAAAACGAGCCAATGATCGAAAAAGAGCCCTTGGAGGCCAAGTCAAAGTAGGTCACAGTGTTTCCAATTTTGTGGAAAATCCAGAGGTCTGGCGTGTAAAAACACGTAAGTATCTGTCGTTTTTTTGTTGCCACAGCAGCTGTGCATCGATGAAAAAGTGTTTATTGAGGCACATGTCCCCATATATCCAAGAAGATATTCCAACCAGTTATCGTGAAAGCCTTTTGATGGACTAAATATTTCACAGGTTCATTTATTCGCCACGTTAGACAGACACATACACTACGTACGTACCAGTTTGCAGTAACACCGGTAACTGTGTGGGGGCAGTGTTGTGAATGGACGCAAATTAGCTTTGACCTAACAAACACATGATTTATTGATATATTACCTTTGCAATGTTTCGACTTCATGTGTGGGGAAACGGAACGTCCAGAGCAGTGCCCTGCGGCTCAACATATGCAATGGTGTCGCAGAACCAAAAGGGTAGTGACTGCATATGCTTGTTGGTACGAGCATAAATGAGTCCCCAAGGCAATCGAGCAACTTGTCCAATGAAAAGCATATTTATATCTCTACCATGTGTTGTTTTTCTTTTGATCCAAAATGGATTCCAAAAAAAAAAAAACAATCAGAGATACAACATGCTTTCATTGGTTGGCAACAATCGCTTCTTTGCAACGCTACCTTTACATAAACAGTAAGTACACGGTTAACCGCAAGCTAATCTCATTATGTATCAGAGCGAGAGATTTTTTATTTTTTAACATGATTTGCCTACATTGCCATTTTTAAAGAGCTAATGTTATGACGGTAAGGCTGCGCTAATGACACCAGAAGGTAGCGTACACAATTAAATTTCATTTCATGTGTCTATTTTAACCTGATAAAAAGTTCCATCCTCACTTCTGTGACTTGACGGCATTTTTATCCACAACGATGCCTTTTTTCACTCGTTAACTCCTCATATAAAAAGAGCCCCATAATCACTTATTGGTACACCCCCTGGTGCACACATATAACACCATGTAAACATTTTTGCTAACCCATATTCTCTTCTCTTTCCCCCTCAGTCCAAACTCAAGAATTATGAATTGTTTGTTCTCACAAAAGGTAAGCTTTCATATGGATCCGGCATATGAAGCTTATGTCATTCATTATGCAACCCGCCGTCAGCCTGCTTCCTAAATTTGAATTGCTGGTTGGGAATGTGGCTGCCATTGCCCTCGCAGGAAGTGCCTGGAAAGAACATCGGCCATTTTAATGTAACGGGATTTGCATGAAGCCTCATAGCTGGACTCCTTCGCAAGTCTATTTTGTATTTCTCACTGGTTGCCATATTGTGACTCTTGAGTGTTGTGTGCAGACGACATGAGGTGAGTAAATTGCTTGACAAACTGTACAAACAACGGTTGACAACCCTTTTTTTTTTTTATTCCCTCCCTTTCTGAGAAAGGGTTTGCCATCAGCTGAATTTTGAGAGCACCCAAAATAAACAAGACAGTTACTCTTTTGTGCTAAACAGAAGATTTTGTTCGGGCCTTTTCTGTGCTGGATGACATTGTTTTTGGCATAGTGGCCGTATGTGCGAAAGCTCAGCTTGTGTCCCAGTTCAGTTCCACTTTGTTTGAAATGGTTGAAACTGTTCTAAAACAGCCCAATTAAAATAAATATATTTTTTAAAAAGTAATTCTTGAATAACTTACCCTTAAGGGAATCTTGCAGTGTAGATGTTCCTGCTGTTTCTGCTGTTGCGTCGTCTCCTCTTCTGTCACACAAGCATAAAAGGAAGTTAAACACAGCATAAAACATTTTGAAAAATTTAAGGAAAACTAATCAACCTCTCACCCAACTATGGGGTGTTTCAAGAGCCATCATCAAGAGAACTCTGACCAACAGATATTTCATCAAAAGCAGTGGAGCAAGAGCTGCAGACAGTTAATATCAAAAGCCTCACAGGCAGATATTCTTGATCCTCATTGGAGAACGAATATTATTACTGTGAAGCTGTGACTTTGTGGCACTTTAAAAGCATTTCTGGCAAACGCTGGTCAGTGAGCTTAAGTCTGAGCTGAGTTGGAGTTTTGGGGACAAACTTTTTGGGCTTGCGATACACGAATACAAAGCAGAAATGAAATGGGACAAACGACACCGTCCTTATGCTAAAACCGCTTTCGTCTGTCCCTGCCGACTTGCTCACGAGTGTCCCCTCTTGTCCCCAACCCCACCTACCGTAGGAGGGTTCACCTTCTACGAACTCATGCAACGCGGCGTGCCCCTCCACCTGATTGACAAGTACATGACGGAGACAAAGGTTGTCGAACAAGACGAGTAACGACTTGTTGAGCTTTAGCTGCAAAACGTGCTGCCACGAGTGACGCCCCTCATCTCTCAACTACATCCAACCACTACGGGAGGCCAGCAGCCGGGAGGCGGATGCGGGGATGTAAGGGTGATCGGGAGATGGGGTGGGGGGGTCTACTAGTCTTTGTATGGCATGCTGTGTCACCCTGTATTTTATTTGTACGTCTCAGTCAGCTCAGATGCATGTCAGCAGTCCCTTTTCTTTTTGCTTATGTGTGAAAACAACATTAAGAATAGCACACTACATGTTCTTTTGTTTGCTGGGGTTGAAGGTACTCTGGAAGGGCAGGGGCATGTATAAACAAATGTTTGTTTTGTCTTTGTATGGTGTCTCTGAAGAAAACTGTTGGATAAATGAATGTCGATGACTCATCTTAATGAGAGGGCAAAGTGGGTGAAAAAATATGTGGTTTATTCTGCATGTAACCTTGTCATTTTTGGATTCATATTGGTGACTTGGGCAAGTACTGAAACTCTGTCAACAAGCGCATGCCTTTGTAATTATGGCCCATGGATAACAATAAATGGCAATTTTAATTATGGCAGTTTCTGGATATCTCGAGAGCCTGACTAATATTGTGTTTGTGGAGTTAAGCAGGAAAATCCACCTGCTTTTTGCCCCTTGCTGTTGACTGAAAATGACATCACAATTGCTCAGATAACAAGACAGAGGACAGGCGAGCCATGGTTATTAATCAGAATGCCATGTTTAGACCAGTGGAAGCGCATAAAACATATTACTGGAAATACATTTTCGGGGTTGACTTCCCCTTTAAATAAAAATTGCACCTCAATTTAAATTCAACAACAGTTCTTAAAAGTTTAACTGTAAATATGTTGTAATGGGGCAGTGATTGTTTTGTGTGCCATTAAAATGAGCCTGCGTCACTTGTAAAAGTCCTTTATCTGAAATAAAGTACGGAACGTTTTTTATCCAGATACACAAAATTGTTGACAATTTCAGATAAGAACTAGATTGCAGTTATGAGATTTCGTTACCTGTTACGAATTAACTACACAAGGTAGCCAACCTGTTGGACTCACTTTTCTAAAGGTGAACTCTCGTGACTGGCAGTATTTTAAAAACATACATCAATAAATCAGTTGAGAAGGGGCCCGTTTTTCAGTTTCGGTCAACTGTGGCGGAAGTGGGCCCTCTTTCCGGTGTCACACTTCCGGTACATACTCAACCTGTCCGAAACGTCATCGCCCGCTCGTGGTTGGTTCCGCCTTGCAAATGCCCTAAGCACATTCGCCTCCCTCTACAGGCCAAATGCGCTGCTATGTTTTGGGCTTGGCCGAGATAAGGTAGCCGAATCTGAGCCTCTTTTCCTGGCAGCCTGCGGGAATTCGTCACGGTCTATTTCGAGAAGAAACGATGGCCCATTTCCTGTGGCCGGAGCCGCTGTCAAGCGCGCAGCTCAAGCGGCTGGAGGATCACAAGTACAGCGCCTCGGGTCGCTCCCTGCTGGAGCCGCCGTGCCAGATCTACTGGAACTGGCTGGTCCAGCAAATCCCGACGTGGGTCGCCCCGAATACGCTCACCATCGTCGGCCTGCTGGTCAACATCGTGTCCACGCTCCTGCTCGTATTTTTTTGCCCCAAAGCTACGGAGGAGGTAAGTTGAGACGACCTTGGACAAAGTTTCTACACCGACACTCGCTCGCGAAATCAGGTTAGGGCATTAAGCAATTTAATGTTATTTGACTACTTACAAAATCGGTTTGATTTCACTCATTTGCAGAACTTATTAACAGTGGTAAATAAGCACAACGGGGAATTCGCTTCTCGTTGCGTTTAATTACGGGATTTAATAGTTGCGACGGGTAAGCAAAAGGCAAACGAGCCTTGAGTGCTTCATTGGCTTAATCTTTCCATTATTGGATCTGAGACATATTACATCTATTTGTTTGTGTCCGTCAACCGATCGATCGATCGATTATTGAGATCTGTCACCTCAGCTGACGTCACCAATCTGGCAGCACCTTTCCTCTCGGGTAAACTACACGCGCTGGACCAGTCCAGCCTGCTTGTTGTGTTAATCACGTTTCTTGCTTACAACTCACACAAAGTCCACATTTTATCTGTTTGCACGCCCATCTGCATTGATTATTCACTCATTAAGCTGCAAACACCACGTTGCATACATTTTTTGTATGTATTTATCTCCGCTGTCCAATAAAAAAAGTCTTGCACCTCCAAATGTTTTTTTTAACTCAAAGAGGGGGTTGAGGAGTTGAATTTCAGGGGGAAAAAAATACACTTTGTAATTCCATGTTTTCCAATTTAGAGCAAGTGCTACTTTATTCTTTCGAGGGGTTGGGCTTCAGTCAGTTAATTTATAAAAATGCAGTTCAACGCTTTTCTTACTTTCTCCAAAAACAATACATGAATGAGGGTTTCTTCGACCTCATTGGAAGTCTGCGCTCAACTCAGTATCGTTCTGCTTCTTTAAGTGTCGCATCTCACCTTCAGGCTCCAGCATGGGTCTTCATCCTGAGTGCTCTGGGCCTGTTCGTGTACCAGTCTCTGGACGCCATCGATGGCAAGCAGGCCCGCAGGACCAACACCAGCTCGCCCCTCGGCGAGCTCTTCGACCACGGCTGTGACGCCGTCTCCACAGGTGCTCTCTGGAAACTCTGGAAAGTTTTCCACATTGTTTTTAACGGAGGTATCGCATCGTCTCGCTGCAGTGTTTGTCGCCGTGGGAACGTGCATATCCTGCGGCATCGGCCGATACCCCCACTGGATATTCTTCTGCGGCTTCATCGGGATGTTCATGTTCTTCTGCGCCCACTGGCAGACCTATGTGTCCGGAACCCTCCGCTTTGGCCTGTGAGTCCCCCACGAGGGCGCACGCCGACCCACGCTCCTCCAGCCCAACCGTCGCTTTCTCTCTCGGCAGGGTCGACGTCACCGAGGTGCAGTTTGCCATCATCACCATGTACCTGATGTCTGCATTCGGGGGGGTGAGCGTTTGGCAAACCACGGTAACTCAACCGCCTTGGTGAATTTTGTTTCCAACAAGCAGGATGGCAATTGTAGAAAGATGTCCTCCCTTGTTATTAAACTGAAATATCGTCACAAACAAGTTCTTCAATCTGTGTGTTGCTTTAAAGTTGCCCCTCATTGGACTGAAGCTGTACATCTTCCCTATCGTGGGCATCGTCGTCGGGGCCCTCTACTCCTGCCACAACTACTTCCATGTCATTCTCAATGGCGGCGTGGGCAAAAACGGCTCCACCGTGGCTGTAAGCTGTGCTGAGTAACCTCAACAGATGTCACGCCGCACAAATAAATAAAACATTGGTGTTGCGCAGGACACAAGCGTGTTGAGTCCCGGTTTACACATCAGCCTCATCCTCACGCTGGCCTTCATCATCTTCAAGAAGTCATCCAGTCGGCTGTTTGAGCTCCACCCCTGCCTCTACCTGCTCACCTTTGGCATGGTCATCGCCAAGATCTCCAACAAGCTTGTGGTGGGTTCTGCAGGCGGGTGTCACAGGGGACATTTGAATTCTCCTCAGAAATCTAGTCTTGAAATTTTACGCGTGCTGTGAAGTGACATCAAGGACTTGTTTCTAAATACATTGTACATGTTTGAAGCTAATTGCTGAAAAATTGCAATGTGCAGTGAGTGAACGATGCCTACACTCCGAAAAAATACCTTCCCTTCGGACAGTCTGCCGGCATGGCCGCTTTAGAGCACCTTGTTGTCTGCCATCACGTGTGAATGGCAGAGGAGCGATGGGAACTCTGTGAAGTGGAAGAGTGAGGGGAACTTAGCAAAGTGTAATGCGACAGCCAGGGTCTTCATGCTGATATGGCCATTTTAGAGCGCCTCGTTGTACAGTTCCTGATGACCTGGTGGGATATTTAAGCCACATTTTTAATACATGGCCATTTCCTTAATCATTCAAATTTCTTCTGCGGTGTGTCAAATTTTGAAAAGAACATTTCCAACCCTGCACCCGCACAGGTGGCGCACATGACAAAGAGTGAGCTTCACCTCCCAGACACTGCCTTCATCGGCCCGGGCCTCCTCTTCCTCAACCAGTACTTCAACAGCTTCGTTGACGAGTACATTGTCCTCTGGATCGCCATGGTCAGTTCCTAGTATTGCACTTTATAACGAGTCAAAACGGAGCATTGTCAACGCTTCAGAGTTTCAATTAATACAAACTACATGGCTTTTAGGTGCTCTCCCTGGTGGACCTGACGCGCTACTGCACGGGTGTGTGCCACCAGATTGCCGGCCACTTGCGCATTCGCGTCTTCAGCATCACGCCGCCCGGCCCCGCCCACCGCGACTGACAGCTTGCCCGGCGGGAGGAGGCGGAGGGAGACGCCGATCTCTCCCCGCTCCTAAAAGCAGACAAGGACGAGACAAGACCCTGCACCCCATGCCTTGACCAAGTGACCACCACTGCCTAAAAAAAAAAAAAAAACCTTGCCCACCAAAGTAATGCTCCAAAACAAACAAAAACTCATCTGACATACCAAAGTTAAAAAAAAAAAAAAAAAAAAAACCTAAACTATTAGCTTTTTAATTTGTTCAATAAATGTGACTGAATGCGATCAATCGGGGATTCAATGGGGGGTGGGGAAGAGGTGTTTTGGTCAGCAGGCGATGTGAAGCATTACTTTTCATGTCATCGCCATTTGTTCTGCTCTCTGACTTCTCCCTTAAGGGCTAAAAATGAATGTTGTGATTGTATACAATACAGCTGACAGAGCCTTAATTCATTTTGTTGTTAAAAAAAAAAGTTAATCATGCAAAACAACTTTGTACACATTTTTCACTAAGATCTGCAATACAGAAGCTTTCCTCTTTTAGACAGATTCATACGTTTCTCCTCCAGCGAATATAATATGCTTATTATTCAGGTTGCCGGGGATGAAAGGGGTTTCTTCTTCTTCTGTGGTACCGCTTTACTATTTTTAGGTACCGTTTCCTGGTTTGTACTCTGGGAAGTAACATTGGACTTTCTGTTTCCATGACAAACTACGAATTGAAATGTACAACCGTGATTTTTCACTGTTCACTAATACAACTAACTGTCCTGAAAATTTTTATTCACAAATGCGTGTGTGGGAGGGAGCAAAAGTTTGTAATAAAGACAATATTTTTCATGCGTTTGTCTTGTCGCCGTGCTTTCGCAAACAGCAGAGAGAGACAGATGAACCCGGCCAAACACAATTTATTTCAATCGGAAGAACCATAGCAAGCGACTTTTAAAGGGCGGCGACACACATGATGAAGCGCTCGGTCTCCACGGCCACGTCACAATCGCAAAAATAAGTTAAGAGCCGAGGTGTCTGAATTTCAGACATGATAGTGAGGCTGCTGAGTCCCACGGGGACACCTGTGCGCAGACGGCAAAGAGGAAAGCGGCCGCGGCCAACAAACACTCTGATTCAAGGAAGGCTCATTGAATCCACGCACGGACGCATGCACATTGGTAGATGAGATTTTCACAAAAAACATTTGTCAAAGAAAGTATCGGAATGAACAAAGAAGGCACTTCTAGATCGCATATTGCTGAAGACACAATCAACAATGACTTAAATTAACAATTCCTTTTCATACAATTCCATTAAAACAAAGTGAGCAGTAAAATGTCCGACAGTTCCCATCACGACGGCAAAAGAAAATTTTGCTTTGGGAACACCTGGCAAACCATTACTGTCCGTTCGGTCATGTTTCAGCACACGGCCTCAAAAATAAAAACAAAACTGAGTTTATGTAGAGGACCTCAGGAGTGTTGAGTTAGAAACCATGAAAAAAAAATTCATGGGCTTCATCACTAGTTTAGCTTTTTTTTCGCCAAATGGGGAAAAAAAAAATCTACCAAACAGGACGGAGGAGGTGCTGCTGCTGCTGCTGCTGCTGCTCGTGAGTTCCCGGTTCATACTCTCTCGGGGTTGTCATCCTTGGCCATTTGGCGTCGGGGGAATAGCTTGCGCTTTAGGTGGATCAGCTGTGAGAAAATGGGAGTACGCGACGAGACCAATGTGATAGCTGCGGACCTCTCGGAATGTGTTTTGATGAAGATATCAAACGTTAAGGTTGCTAAGGGCTGGGTGGGGGTTAGCAATGGGATTGTCTTAACGTCAGCGTAACTGTTAACCTCTCTGGCTCAGAAGAGACACCGCAAACCGCCGCGATCACAACACCAAGTCAAAACAGAGATTTGTTCGGGGCTTTTTTTTGGGGGGCAAAATCGGTGGAGAATACGCAATCTGACACCGAGAGTCATCGAGTCCTCCCGAAGGAGGAGGCAGACGAAGGGCGGGGGTGGAGGGTCTTTGGTTTCAGCGGACTCAGGTCCTGGCACTGTTCGTCACATATGAGACGGGCGAGCCGCCTGATTGGGCATTTGGGCGGCGAAGGCGCGAACCACAGAAACGGAGGACGCGGAAGACACGGAGGCCACTGACCTGTTCGGCGAAGAAGGACACGACGGTGAAAGCCACCAGCGTCACGAGGACACAGTGGGTCCAGAACTTCAGCTTGTCCCGGTAGTCTCGCCTGTTGGGGTGGGGAAGGGAGAGGTTCCATTAGGAGACACGCTTGTGGACACGTTAAGTGGACAACACAAGCAAAGACGGTGATGCAACACCGAGGCATCCAGAGGTGACAGCACTTCACTCAAAAGACACTCCAGCAGGTGACGAAACGCTCAGCTTACCACGACCATCTGAGGGGGCTCGTCTAATTTTAAAGTCTCTGTGTGAGCCCTGACACTCGAACGCCCCCCCCTTCCCCCGCCGCCCCCCTTGAAGAAGAAGCGTGGCTCTTTGGACATGAATCCCCCACCCCACCCCCTCCCTCTCCTGGGATCCCCATGGTGACAAGTTGGCAACACTTGGCCCAGCGTGCTGACAGCCACTTGGCTGCTTTTGATGTTATGATGCTGCCATTATTAGCAGCTGGCATGCCGCCACGAGCGCCGAGAGACGTATTGATTACCTCCACCGGGGAGGTCGCTTTCACGACCCGGGGCGTTGACGTCTGTGTTCCGACTTTCTTGCGACGATTTTTGAGAACACAACGTGGACTCTGACTTATTTATTTGAGGTGAAATGTTCAAATCTTCTCTCTGTCAAAAAAATTGGTAAAAGTGTAACGTCGTCCGTTGCTTTAAGCGGGTGGTGATATTTAACTCCTCCTTCCAGATTTTTTTTGACCAACAATTCAATTCCTTCCACAGCGTTTCAAAATCAGACATGCCCCCGTCCTGGCAGGGTCTTGGCTTGTCCCGGAGAACTCAATTTAGACACTCGCGCCTGCCATCCAAAGACAACGTCGGCCATCAAAGGTTCCTAATCAATTTCTTGCGGTGGAAATGACCTACCATTCCTGGAGCTCGTCCATGTGCAGGAAGCGGTTGCGGTATTCCCTGGGCAGTTCAAACTGGGACGGCAGCGGGAACATGGAGTCGTAGAAGTCCCTCAGCACAGCCTTCACGGTGGCGGCGTCCTTGTGGGCGTGGTCAATGTTGTCGTTCAGACAGATGAACTTCCTGCAGGGGAAAGCTAGGGTGTTAGCTAGCGACATAAACGGGAACCCTCATCGGGACGGACGCCACCTGGGATTCTTCCTGATGTCGTCCAACTGGCCCACCACGTGCGACACGTTGGTGCGGACCATCTTGAAGGCGATGTCCTCCTCGCCCTTGATCTCAAACCTGCGCAAGTGGTCAATTCTTAAAATCGGGAGAGTGGTTTAAGTGTGCCGGCGTTGCTTCTGGACGTCTCACTTGTACTTGTTCTGGTCCACGAAAGCTTTGCGAATGCGGTCCAAGATGGGCGTGCAGTGCACGATGAGGCCTTTCGTGACTGGCGGCTGGGAAACACATTCCACAATGTTACGAGAAAAGCGGAGAATCGAGATTTGCGTCTGGCTTGAGGTGTTCACCATGCTGTGGTCGTAGTAGGACTCCTGTGTGGGGTTCGCCAGGTGCAGCTGACTCAAGTTCCTCGGGAGTGTCTTGGAGCAGTTGATCAACATCTGTTCCAAGCTCGTCAGATCCTGCAAGGCCAAAAGAATAAAGAGAAACAATGTGTCTTACTTCCGTCCATCACCAACAGAAAATAACTCATAAAAGTTGGAAAAGACCGGTTTCGTCAATCGACCTGGAGGCTGAGCGGCAGCTCGTGAATCCTCGTGGCGAGAGTGCGAATCTCGCGATCGGACAGGACGCCGGAGTGGTCGGTGTCAACCTCATCAAACACCTCCGAGATGTTAAGCTGCTGCTGAGTGCTCATCAGGAAGTAAAAGTAGGAGAAGGCAAACTGCATGTCGTCCGGGTGGCGCACGCGGTGGCCGGACGTCTTGTCAAAGTCGTCTGGGAATCTGCAGGAAATGAAGAAGCAGCAGCCAATTTGCGGCATGTCGAGAAAATCTCCACGCTTCGCTTATTAGCCGCGGTTACATATGAAATTCTGAATAGAATTATCAAGTACTGAAAAGCGGTTCTGGCGCATCACTTCAAAGCGGTTGGCCCGCGGAGGGAGGCCCCGTCGCCAACACTCACGTGTCCTGCAGCTCCTGCATGACCAGCCTGTCAATCATATGTGGCATGTGTGCGGGGACTTTGCGGGACGCGAAGCCAAACTGGCGGTTGAGCAGCTTGTTGACGTGGCGCAGCGAGTCGGCAAACGTGTCCCGTAGCTTGCGTCCGCCGGCGGTGCCGTCCGTGTCGTACGTCAGCGCCCTCTTCAGGTGCTCTTCTTCCTGTTGAAAAACAAAACAAAACAAAAAGAAAAAACTGAGCGATCAGGATCGTTATCAGGCTCCTGCAGAGCTTGCTGATGTGTTGGAGGGGGGAAACATCTACAGTTCACACCTTCCTCCCCAACAACGACACAGACAATGAGTAAAGAGTTGTGATCACAGCAGTCTCGATTCTTGTGAGCTCACCTCCAGCAGGTCTTGGAAGTATTTCTTCTTCTCCCAGGGCAGGAAGCCCCTGTCAACAGGGACAAAGTGCTGGAGCTTCCTCCCCACTTGAGCGATGTGGTTGGCCTGCGCTTGCCACTCAGTGCTCTTCACTTTGGTAATGTGGCGCAGCAGTTTGGGGGTTTTAGGCCTCTCCACCACGCTCGGAACGGCAAGTTGGTCCCCGTCAAGTTCTTCCCAGTCGGTGGTGAGCAGTTGAGCCTTGGTGAGGTTGTAACCCTTCAGCGTGATGTCTCCTCTGAGGAGTTTCTCATCCAGCTTTTCAAGCTCACTGCGCACAGGAGCTGGCAAGAGCGACTCGTTGACAGCGGGAACTTCTATGATGGCCTCGAGTTCATCCGGTTGCTTCCTCTGGATCTTGGGAGCCCTCTTGTCCTCGGGTACATCCGAGAACAAAAAGAGCGCTTCCGTCGTTGCGGAAGGCTTCTGGCTGGAACTTTCCCTGCTGGCCTGAGTCCTGTTAACCTGCGGAAGCAGACGCGTGTCGACGGTAACGTCGAAGATCTTGGTGAACGCCGTGCTGTCCTCTCTTTGGAAGGTGACGTTGTAATGGACCACGCTGGCATTGTGGCCGGGGTGGAGCAGAAGGTGGATCGTCTTCCATTTGTTGGCTACGGAGGTGTGACGCACTACCGGGCTGTCACTCACGTGGGCCTCCGAAACCCTATGAGGAGACAAAATGCCAAGAAGTTAGAAGCTTTCCCGATTTACGGGATTAAAGTCCAATTGGAACCTGTAAATGTTAGGGGAAACATTTTCAAAATCCCCCATTCCATTTCTCATGGAAAGTTGCCGTCAATTTCTCGAGCCTCTTGCCGCCTTACCTGTGAGCCAGCCGCTCAAAGCTGAAATAAGGTCTGATCTCTCCGACTGGGAGGATGTAAGCGGTCTGGTCACTCAGCAGGGTGACACGGTGCAGCTCTCCAAAGTGGTCTGCGGCGCGAATCACACAAAGCGGGTCAACAATTTGACCCGAGCTCGAGGAGAAGCCCTCCTATTTGCCTTGAACGCACCCGTGCCGCAGTCTCCCACGTCGAAGCCGCAGGAGAGCACGTTGCAGGCTTGGTCACAGAATTTGTCCGCCAGCCAGGAGGTGGCGC